GTGTGTGTGTGTGTGTGTGTGTGTGTGTGTGTGTGTGTGTGTGTGTGTTTACATGCTGGTGATTTGCCAAAGTATATTTGAGAGTTTGATGAGAAACAGGACAAAGATCTGCTGCAGCTGCAGCTGACAGTAATGAAGCTTTTCTATTTCTTTACTGTTTACTTGCTGTGTGTGTGTGTGTCTTGTGCTCTGTGTGTGCGTGTGCATGCATGCGTGCATACATCTGTGTGTGTGTGTGTGTGTGTGTGTGTGTGTGTGCTGCAGACCTCCAGCAGTATGCTAATCAGCAGCTATAATATCCTGTCCAGGGAAATACATAATAAATCAGTTTTGGTTTGACTTTGTACTGAGACTGAGTGCTGAGGGAGGTCGGGCCAGCAAGAGATGAGGCTGTGCACGAGGCTGTGCACGAGGCTGTGCACGAGGCTGTGCACGAGGCTGTGCACACACACACATGCACACACTGAAATGGTAGTAGTTCCTGTTAAACACGTGTTAATGTGGCTCCTCTCTGAGTTTGTTTTCATTTTTCTGCTTGTTTGTTGGTGGTTCTTTCAGACAGAACTGTGCAGACCTGGACGGGACCACGTGGACCTGGACGGACCAAGCACCTCTGACACTCAGGTGAGGACGGTCCTGTTGTGGGACATCCTGTCCAGCAGCATTTTGTCTCATCTGGGAAGGAAAGAGCTCTTCTTCTTCTTCTGTTTCCTGTTTGCATCAAAGCTGCTCGAACTGAAGAGGAGGAGGAGGAGGAGGAGGAGGAGGAGGAGAAGAGGTCTGACTTGACCTCCAGGTGGAGGTCAGTTTCATCATGTGAGGAGGAGGAGGAGGTCAGAGACATGATGAAGGCTCATCCTGCAGACACTCGTTCATCTTGCTGCTGCAGACGTCGACTCATTCCTTCTCTCCTGACGTGACCTTTTACCTCCCATCCAATTCACTCTGTTTTAATCCAGAACAAATGAGATCAGGGTGGTCCGCCAGCAGAGCTGTGTGTGTGTGTGTGTGTCTGTGTGTGTGTCTGTGTGTGTGTGCTAGCTGCAGTCCTAGTCCTGCAGGACCACGATCTTGCAGATTTCTCTGCTCCAGCTCAGCTGATTTGAATCAGGAGGTGATTACCAGGTGTCTGCAGAACCTGAAGAGGTAATTCATTCACTGAATCAGATGTGTTGCAGCAGAGGGACAGGCTGGACCAGCACAGGTGTGTGTGTGTGTGTGTGTGTGTGTGTGTGTGTGTGTGTGT